AGATGAAGTCAAAGGTCTTAACACAAGACGTCAAGGACTAATTACACCAGAGACAGTGAAGGTCAAAGTCACAAACAGGAACTCAGCCTCATGTTTAGTGAACAGCGCAAACACATGTGCATACACGCATACAGACAAAACAGAAAAAGGAGTGTTAAGACCTAAAGGTGTGGGCGTGACACAAAGCAGGTAGGGCCAGCGACTGAGAACCCGTTTGTTGTCATGCACATATCCACACAAACACACACACACACACGTGCCTGGTGTTTTCCTTAAGCAACAGTTCTCCACAAGCAGAACTAACCAGTTATACACAGACTGTTAACTCCTAGGAGGAATTTAGACTTCCTACACATTCTTTAAATTTGAGCGTACTTTCTACAATGGGCCCTGTGTTTCCTGTGACAGGCCACATCACGCCTACATCTTCAGTCATGTGACAGTCCAACATCTTGCAGACACTGTGAAAACAGTGCTCTTCTCTTTTTCTTATCATCAGTGTAGCCTTCTGTCTGCTGGCCTACTAGCCTACTGTTTAACTTTCTCATCTTTGTTTGAACAAAAGCACACACACAGCACACACAATTCCTGTCTTTAAGCCTTCATTGTATACTGCACTGCTCCATCTGTGTTTAATCATCAGCACTCACAAAATGCAAGACAAACAAACAGATGATGAACTTATTGTGATGAGCAGCACAAGTACCAAGCTGAAGGATCAGTTCACCAAAATCACAAAAAACGTTGGCATCTAGCCATACAGACAGTTTTTTGCCAATGTTCTGAGATAATATAATCCAATATATATTTGAAAAACTGCTTACTAATACTAATTCTCATGAACAAAGGAATTTAAACCTCTGTACCCCTATTAGAGGAGAACATTTGTTACATAACACCTTGATCTCTGGTAATATATGTAAAATGTGGCCTAGGGCAGGAAAATATGCAATACATGCATAAAGCTTAAGATGCCTTAAAAGATATTTCATACCGAACACAAAATAGTGCAAACAAAGCTTAATTTCAAAAGGGCCATCCTTAATCTGCATTCACACTGTGAATAATCCTTTCATCTCCTACAGATGTCAAATCCAAGCAAATGATGTGAGGGTCAACAGGCCAATATCCAAGGTTCAACATCGACACGCTGTAAACCCAGGTATAAACTGTGTGGATATATGAACAAACAAACAGATATCCTTACCAAGCAGAGCGTTAAAAAGCTGACTTTGGAAGACATTGATGACTCTGTCCAGGGACTGCTGCAGCTGGTGGTCTTCCTCAACAAGGCCCTGTTTGGTCCGGCTCTGGTTCTGCTGTCTCTGGTCAAGCTTGGCCCGGTACTGCTGGAGAAGCTCCAGGGCGCGCTGAGCATCTAAATATAAAACACACAAGTAAATAACAATAACCTTTTATCCCCATAACTAATGAGAGAAAGGGAAAGACTAAATTCTCCAGGCACTCTTAAGTAGAGAAAGGAGATTAAGTACTCTACATTAAAAGCCTATACTTAATTGAGGATTACTATGGTTAAAAAAACACTTGACTGGTTCGGTCCTCACAGAGTCTTCATTAGGGTGAAATTAATAAAAGACAGATTAATAACAAATAGCTTCCTATAGTAAGTGTGGACACAGGTGTTAATCTGTCAATAGGCTTTTTAAAATACCTAATTTCCTTGTTCTATAAGAGTGGCAGACTAATGTTTTCTCTCCCTTGCTGTCTCAACTACTGCCAGTTTTCAGTGTTTGACATCAATGTGAAATTGCAAACTTGACAGCAGCTAAAAGGTTAAGTATATAAGGCCTCCATTTAGTACTTCACAAGGATGTAACAACTGTTTTCTTTAGAAAGGTGGATCGAGGTGCAGATTTGTTACTAAAGTAAAGGTAGTAATACCACAGTGTAGAAATACTCTGTTACAGGTGAAAGTCCCACACTAAAATGTTTACTTCAGTAAGAGTTCAAAAGTACTAACATCGAAATATACTCATTATGCAGAATGGCCCACTTCAGAATAATAATATTGGATTATAGATCACTGAGTATCTGTAATGTTGATAATGGTAAAGATGGAGCTAATTATAACTACAGTGTGTACTTTAATGTATAATAATGCATCATAATTTATCAGTTGATCACATTTTGCATTAATAATCTGAATCTGCAAAGTCTAGTAACTAAAGCTTTCGGTTCAAGTACAGTGCTTGAGTAAATGTAAAAACTCCTATTAAGTTTTATTACCAGGGCTTTATCTATCTGATGCAGGAGGGTATGAGGGCAATAGAGTTCATGGGGCAAAAGGAAGGCTGCGGACTGCATTCCAGGCTGCATGGCAATCTGAACAGCTGATTAAACCGGAAACACTGACAGACAGACTTTAAGACCTCAAACTCAGGCCAAGTGTCAGTGTTCATTCATATAATGCCGCTTTCTAGCAGTGAAAGATGTCGAGCCAAACCGCATTCAAAATAATCCCTATTTATTGATTATTTACGTATAAGCACATACATCAAGCAGAGCATGTTTTCAGATATTAATCAGCTGCACTTTCATACCACTTCAATACGGCATGCAATAAACATTACGCAGTCACAAAATCTTGAGCTCAATTCCCTCCATTTATGCGTTTTAGTGCATACTAGCAGACCGTATACAAGTAAAAGCGGATGAAAATGAAAATAAAATGCCGTTTGGTGTATAAATTGTTAGCCGAATTTACCGCAATGTGTGAATAATTACTAAAAGCTTGTAAATTATGCTCCATAAATTGGATTCCCACACCAGTAAACAATTCAGCGTTAAATCGCGGGTGTTTTAGACAAAGTTCCGTGCTCTGTTAACTTAACACGCTAGAGAAGAGCGCCTCTGTGAGCTATTAGAAAGGCAGCCTTTCGGAGGGGTTAAAACTGATGTCAATATCGTTTCTTTAACTAAATGAATGATATGCAGGGGGGATAAACAGGATATAAAGACAGAAAATGATAAAAAAAACAAAAAAACATTTTACTTTACCTTTCTGTCGCACAGGCATGTTGACGCGCACAAGTCCTCCTCCCCCTCGGGTGTGTGCGTGTGACTGTGTGTGTGTGTGTGTCGCCGTGTATCTGTTATTACAGATGTGAGCGTTTGTCCCGGGACAGCCTGCCTCCAAAGTGGGACACCAACACTGACACCACGACAGTCCACAGCAACCTCATCAAAATAAATAAACTCTATGAAGTGTTTGAAAGTCAAAGAAACCCGGCGGAGAAGAGAGAAACTGTCAACCGTGGACTTGGTACCCAGAGCTTGTGTGTGTTTTCTCTCTCTCACCCTCTCTCTCTCCTTCTCTCAAGGTGCCATTAAAGAAATCCCCAATTACTCCTAATAATGATGTAATCAAGCATGGCTGACGTGCCAGCGAGCTTTAATTAAGTTATTAATTAGCTGAATAATGGGGTTTTTATTCACCGACACAGACGCCAGAGTCTCCCACGGCAAGAAGGTGTGTGTGTGTGTGTGTGTGTAGGTGAGCCATTACAAGATGTGTGTGTGTGGGCAACACAAACCAAACAGAGAAGAGTGTGTGGGTGAGCAGATGACGTAACTGTCAGAGAGGAAGAAGGAGAGATAATGAACAAAATGTTTCACTCTGCCAATAAAAACACGTGTTTTGGTATAAAAGAGATTTTTTTCCATTGGTTCATGAAAGACAAACACACAGATTAAGTCATTTACCAGATC